GAATATAGTAAAAATAATAAAAGGTGATCCTTTAATCATCTCGTCATTTAGTAATTTTTGATTGCAAGGCTAGCACATGACACTTAAGCATGGAGGAGCAAAGGGCATAAGAATGTAGTTGTGAAGTGATCTGATTTTCTGGAGTAAATCTTGCCTTATGGTGCTACTCTGTATTTAAATTTGCAGATTTATTCCAGCCGGGATCTTGAGGAATCCATAAACAAAATAAGAGAGATACTATCAGATGATAAGCATGACTGGGAACAGAGAGTTTCTGCGGTAAGTAGTGAACTTAGACATGAACTTTATTATTATGAGGTTTTTCTGCACTGAGCTTAATCCCATGAAGAGGGTACTGGGAGAACCTCAGAGTATGTCTAGAACATGTTCTAGTGGTGAACATCTGTTACATTACCCCAAGCTTGGGGAAAATGTTTCCTTATGAGACAGAATTTAAACCTTATCTGTGAAGGAAAATGCTGTTTGATATATGAGAATCTGTTGAGATAGGATCAGGTTGAACTGGAAGTCATACAGCAAATCCAGATATAGAACTTGAAATTTGCTAGCAGATGCTGAAATAAGAATGTCGGAAGTGATATTTAGAATATCTTAAAACTTCCTGATGAGGCGGAAAGTCACTTTGCTTATAGAGAGCTAATTTATACTTTTGCAAAAGAAGGTATAAAGTAATTCAGAAAGAATTTGCACACTTAAGTTTTGAATAAATAAATGGGACTGTGGGAAATACGGAAGTGGTAGCAGCAAACAAACAAAACAAGTGAGCTTAAGTGGAGGCACTGTACAGATGCGTAAGTATACATGAGGGCCTGTGAATGTGTCCAAAAGAATGTCTATAGGATGATACGGTGATCCCTGTAATATTAATAGAAAATTTCCCATTTTGATGGGGTCAGGGTTCCACTTCTAGTACAACCAGATAATAATTTTAATGAAGTCAATGGACATCTTCTAGATATGTCAGTATTACTCAAATCTGAATATGAACCATGCCCTTTAAGTCTAGTAATCTTTTTGATACAACAGTCAAGTGTAAGAGGACCTAAGCTTTAGAAGCTGCTGTTAGGTGGTTTCTAAGGGGAATAGAGGAGAGCTTTTAAGATATATTTTGGCTTAAAAAGTAATGTTTGGATTATTAACAATCAATTTGAGCAGCTATATACAACAATTACGAATTTCTGTAACAGCTAGTTGTTTACATTATCATACTTAGTATGTTAACCTAGGAGTTGAATATAAGATCTGAAATAATAGAATTGCTTGGACTTTAAAAACCATTGTACAAGGATCCTGGAAACTAAGTATCAGCCTTGAACATAACTGACCTGGTATTTATTGCTCATTAAAAGTCATTGCTTTCTTTTATGGTGCTCACAGTTGAAAAAGATCCGCTCCTTACTTTTGGCTGGAGCTGCAGAATATGATAACTTCTTTCAACACTTAAGACTTTTGGATGGAGCATTTAAATTATCTGCTAAAGACCTGCGGTCTCAAGTAGTACGAGAGGCTTGTATCACACTGGGGTGAGTTCACTTTCTAAATACACTTGAACTGTGATGTAGAAAAAAGGAACAGGCACTGGTTAAAACACATTTAGGATATAATGTGGGCTTCTAGTACCACCTGGTTATAGGTAGAACATGCTTTCGGTACAGCTGTTTAAAACCACATCCATGTAGGCTGCTAATTGTAGTTCTGTCAAACCGCGTTCCTGAGTTTAAACGATGCTGATTTGAGACATGCTGAATGAATGAGCAAGCCAGGCATTCATGCACTGAGTAGGAAATGATTGAACAATAAAATTGAGAATGTGTCTGTTTTGTTCTGGCTTGGGCTGAGCTAGTTTTTAGTTTTAACGGTTTATCCTTTGTGAAATACTTCAGGAAGAAGGGCACTGAAGTGTTATTTACAGCTTTTTTGAAATTTCTGCATCTTAAGGCAAAGTAGGCAGATTCAGAGAAACTATAATATAAACTAACAAGCTCAGAAAAATACATTCTTTCAGCATGATCCCATTTGATAATAAATTTTTAGCTGTGCTAGTTATTTTATTTTATGCTGAACTTAATGTTTCTCAGAGTTCAGATGGGTATAGTACAGGCATTTGAAGGGAAAGTAAAGAAACTGGTTTTTCAAACGTGGTGTTTTCTCCCCTTTGGAGTTGGAGTGGAGTTGACAGTTATGAAGACTGAGATGTCAGATGTGCTTGTGTCAGATTTCTGTAGAACTCGCTTAATCCTCAGCATGACTTACCAGCATGACTTCATTCTGTTTTTCAGACATTTATCATCAGTTCTGGGAAACAAGTTTGACCATGGGGCAGAAGCCATCATGCCAACAATTTTTAATCTAATTCCGAATAGTGCCAAAGTCATGGCCACTTCTGGTGTTGTAGCAGTTAGATTAATCATTCGAGTAAGTATACATCAAAAAAGAACGATGTTGTTATTTCCAAATACTGTGGTGTTTGAGGAAGTATGAATGTTGCTGCAGTGAAAATTAGATTAAGTGCCTAATCTACTTACCTGATTGTGCTGTGCTTGGCTGTCTCAGATGTCATGCAGCTTTGTGTAAATGATGATAGTTAAACCCTGCCATAATAGTAGGAAAAATGTTTGTTTGCAGAGTAAGATATTTGCATTCCTCTAAGAGCTGAGCAAACTTTTTTCTTTGAATGGGCTTTAAACCTGCCTTGCAGGACACACTCATCCTCTTAATTATGCTCTAAAACTCCTCAGACAGTGCATGTTTCCTAAAACCATTAGGTCACAAAAGTGGCTTCTGTCTAGTGATTCACTGGGGAAGCTGTAGATAGCCTGATAGCTTTCAAGTTGTCACCACTGGCAGTTTAGATCCTATTGCAGTGACCTCAGCTCTTTGATTCACTGCAGCCTGTCATCATAGAAAAATAAAATATTAAAGATATTTTAACAAATAAAATATAAAATTTTCAATAATAAAAATATCTGCCCATATCTTAGTGTTCCTTTACTTAGCAGTTCTGTTTTTAAGAATTGCACAGAATATCTGCATGCTGGGTCAGATCACTGAAAGAGATAGATAGTTTTTCGTTCCATGGAACTGTTGTGCAAAGTTTTCTCCCTGTTTGTGTTTGTTTTCCTCTAGCATACACACATCCCTCGATTAATACCCATCATAACCAGTAATTGTACCTCCAAGTCTGTGGCAGTTAGAAGGTAAGCCTTAAGTTTGAATTTACTTTTTCTTTTTTTTTAAACCAGTAAATAGGTTCACTTGTACTTTCTGATAACATTTGTGGCTTTGTTTTTATTCATGAAAAGGGTTGATATGCACGCTTAAAGAATGCATCTCTCTCCCCCCCATTAATTTGGATCGAATTCAAAGTCAGCTATCTTGTATAAGTCTCAGTACTGCAGAGAAATTACTTTTCCACGGAGAATTTTTTTTTTTTAACTGAACTTTATGCTTACGTGTCATTATAACATCATATTATTTTGGCTTCTTTATGGACATGTTCCTGTTCTCCACTACTAGCAGTTACAGTGACATGTTTTCTTTGAGACAGTCAGCAGTAGTGTTCTGTGATAGCATCACCTGAATTTGGACTGGATATGTTAATGGTCTTCTCTGCACTTAAAATCTAAGTGTGCTTCAGCCCGCTACCTCACTGGGAGGCTCTTATCCAGTCCATGTAGATTAGCTAGTTCTCTTCCACTTAGGCAAAAAAGGCTTTGTGGTTGCTGAATTTGGTGACAAACCTTGAACAAATAACAGCGCACTCATGCCATTGTTTCTTGAGATGAGGAAGGGAGATTAAATATGAAAAGATCTGTCTCCACATGAAGTTAAATGTGAAGTTTCTCGTGTGAAGCCTTAAAAAGGACATAGTATACAAAGCATGGATATTTTGGGCCTGTATCCTGTTTAATGAAAGGGGCTTTCTGGATTGTTCTGTGAAGCCCTATTTCCAGAGTTTCTATATCGAGCTGACTCCAATTACTATTTCAGACTCTTTATTGATAGCTTTTGATGTTCATGTTTTTATCAGGGTCGTTACTGAATTCTAAGATCCCAGAAAACTTAATAACAAAAGATAGCTTTTGTTCAAAGGCAGGTATGGCAAAGTCAGTGTGTCTCTGTTAACTCTGAGAACTCAGCATTTCTTCTCTTTCTTCTCTCAGGCGCTGTTTTGAATTTTTAGATTTGCTGTTGCAGGAGTGGCAAACACACTCCCTAGAAAGGTAAGCTCTGAAAACAGGAGGCTTAATGATTTCCTGCGTATGTCTGGGGGGTTAATTCTGGAGAAAGCATAATCTAGGAGGTGAGATTGTATCAGGTAGCTCTTACGGAGATATTTTTGCCACAAAAAAGCACGTACATACGTGCATACACACAGTTTATTCTGGTAGTTCTGGCAGTCAGAGTTCAGTGAGTCTATCTCCTATGCCAGCCGTGGAAAACCTGGCTGAGTGAATCCCTGAACTCAATGGATTTTTTTTTTTTTCCCCCCTTTTGTACCATAAAGTGCGATGATGAGGTGAAGGCTACAACACATCTGTCAGGAGGGTCTGAGGCTTCTACAGTACTTCAGACTAATGAACAGTTAAAGTAACTGGGGAGGAGGAGACTGGGACACAATTTCCTTAGCCCTAGACTGCACAAGACTATCTAAGGGTTAAGAGAGTGTTTTTGTACCCAGGCAATTTCTATAGCTAGCTAAAGACTGACCTCTGAAGAATGCTGCTTGACTTTTCCTAGTCAGCTGTGTGGGTGAGATAAAACTGATTCATAAGACCAGATAAATAAATAAAGGCTCCGAAGGATGTTACATGGAAATGGGAAGATGTGATGAACTGTTGTTCTTGACCAAGGCAAAATAAAATTACTTGTTTGTATGTCGCATCTTTTTGTACTGGTGAATAATGTTTTCCTTATTTCAGACACATATCAGTGTTAGCTGAAACAATAAAGAAGGGAATTCATGATGCAGACTCTGAAGCCAGGATAGAGGCAAGAAAGTAAGTGGATGCTGTTGTCGGTGTCTTGTCTTCCTCTCCTTCTTTGCCCCTATTGTGTTATCAATCGTATTGCATGTTGGGGACTGAAATCCAGACAAGTTAGGTTGTCCTGGCAGTTCATGCCAACTTTGCCTTGGCTTCAGTGGGAGTGTGTATTTCAATGAGATGGTGTACTTCAGCAGGAGATGTCACATGAGGTTGATCACATGGGGCTGATTTATGTGTGTATTGCATCTTGTAATGGTGTTTCACTTGTAATATTTTATTACCTTTTTATCTGTCTGAGCAGGTGAGTAAGAAACTAGAGTAGAGAACTAATGACTTTGTCTTTCTTTTTGAGGTTTGTGTTGCTTGCAGTTAAATGAGATTGCTTCTGTTTAGTACAAAAATGTTGTTATTTCTGATATATTTTTTTCTTTTTGGTCTGTGTGCAAGACCTAGGATGGATCAATGCTTGGCACAAGTAGAAATTGGGAGAGGAGTGATTGAGAACCCTGCAGAAAGGGATCTGGGGATGCTGAGTGCAGTGTGCCCTGGCAGTCAAGAAGGCAAACTTCATCCTTGGGTATATTAAATACAGTATAACCAGCCAGTCAAGAGAGGTGATTATCTTGCTGTATTCAGCACTGGTGTGGCCTTATCTTCTATACTATTGTGCAGTTCTTCAGTACCAGACAGTTGAAGAAGGATGTGAAGGTCCTTGAACTGTGTCCAGAGGAAGGCAACAAAGCTGGTGAAAAGGTTGGAAGGAATGACCTCTGAGGAGCAGCTAAGTCTTCTCTAGGCTGGAGAAAAGGAGGCTGCAGGGTGACCTCATTGCTCTCTACAGTTTTCTGAGGAGGGGAAGTGGAGGAGGGAGGTGCTGATCTTGTCTCTCTAGTATCCAGTGGTAGGATGAATGGGAATGGTTCAAAGCTGTGCCAGGGGAGTTTTAGACTGGAGATTTTGAAGCATTTCTTTACTGAGGGGGTGGTTAAACACTGGAACAGGCTTCCTAGATAGGCAGTTGATGCCCTGAGTCTGTCAGTGTTTAAGAAGCATTTGGACAATGCCCTTAATAACATGCTTTAACTTTTGGTCTGCCCTGAATTGCTCAGGCAGCTGGACTAGGTGATTATTGTAGGTCCTTTCCAACTGAAAAAATCTAGTCTATTGTCATTTGCTACTCTTGAAATAAAAGTCCTTGTGCTAGTACACTCCTAACTGGTATCTTAAATTAAGGAAATATTTTATTACACTGAAATAATATCTTTGTGTGTATCTATGGGAAACTTTAATATTTGCAATTAATTTTCATCTGTTGAAGATCTCTTGCATTTCCATTACGTGATTTTATTTATGTTAGCATGCTGATGTGCTAGGATCATGCTCTCCTGGATAAAACACTGCAGAAATTTATTTCTTCAGAAAGAGGATATTGTGAAACATGAAATCAATGAACAATAGATTTTATCAATCTAAATGCTGCATTGTAAGCAGAGGTGTTTCACAGTAGGACTGTTTGAAACCCTTTGAAAGGTAACGTGTCCGTCACTGAAAAATACAGTAGGCACTGAGACTTTACAGGAGGTGACTAGTTAAGCTGAATAGACACCAAGGGGAAGGGCATGAGCCTTCAGAAAGCTTACTTAATTCTCTCTTCCCATGTTTCTTAATTTGCAGTGTGGGTGATTGTAAGACAGAATTTTGTTTCCTTCTAGTGATATCAGAATGCATGTGACTCCTGAGGCTCTGAGGACAATTCTTGATTAATTTGATGTAACAATTTTACTCTTAAACTGCCCATTAGTTGCTCTCTGAAAAGTGCTGAGAGTCTTCATCTCCTTTGTGATGAGAATGAATGGTGTTTAGCTGTGAGCCAGGAGTCTTGGACCAGAGAAGAATTCTTCCCTCATCTTAAAATGCTCTTTTATTTTCAGCATGACACTGATTGGAAGTCTATAGGAACATCTCTTTCCTTTTCCTTGTTATTTTTTCCCAAAAAGGCACTTAACAGCCTCAGCTCAGTACAGATTTGTCTCTGCAGCATTGTAGGAGAGCTGTTTGATAAACTTAGGGAAGCAAACAACACCCACTGGTGTTTTCCTGAATCAGGCCCGTGCATGTGTGTTCTGCTTTTGGCATGTTTTTGAAGTAGGTATTGAGCATCCAGTCACAAACTAGTATCAGTCTAGTAGGCCTACCAGCTCCCGTGTATGATAGACAGCCAAAGGGATGAGGGTTGCTTCTGTAATAAAGCTTTATTGGCTACTTGTGTTTTTACAACACACCAAATGGTGCATTCCTCTCTTACTATTTTCATGTGGTTTGTCTTCTGTGTGCCTGTTAGAATGGGTTGAAGAAAGTGATGTTAAGTGTGTCGTAGGGGCTGTAGATGGTTAAAATGACTGGTATAATGAGCCAATAATGCCAGTAGTGACAAGGGTTCTGACTGTACCTGTGCTCCGCTACCCCCTAGAACATGACAAAGAAATATTCACTGTATTGTGCCTTATTTCCAGGTGTTACTGGGGTTTCCACAGCCACTTCAGCCGAGAGGCAGAGCATTTGTACCACACCTTGGAGTCTTCCTACCAGAAGGCTCTGCAGTCACATTTGAAGAACTCTGACAGCATCGTGTCCTTGCCACAGTCAGATCGCTCTTCTTCCAGCTCCCAGGAGAGTCTCAAGTAAGTCCTTTGGTGTCATTGCCTCTCAATTTAGACAACTCTGGCTAACTCCATTGAATTGGAGGGAGCAGTCACATTGCTGTGTCTCATCTGGTCATTGTTTGGCCTCAACACTTGTTACTCCAGATAGTTCATTTTTTTTTTTGTTTAGCTAACATTGCATTAAAATAAAAAGCCAGCAAAATCGATTATTGGCTTAAAAAAAAGTTATCTTGACTCCATAAATAATAAATAATTCCAGGTGCACTTAAAATAACACTTGGATTGAAATTTTGTGTTTAGCATTAATTCTTGAGGTGTAAGTCTGCCTCTTTCCATATAAGAGAGGAAAAAAAAGAATTCTTAAATTAAACTTGAGTTGAAACTGCAACTCTAAGTAACTCTTCTATTGAATGTATGTATTTTAGCTTCTCTTAGAGATACTGTCAGCATAGACTCCAGATGTCTACAGTTTAAGTGTAAGGCCTATATGAAAAATACCTGTAACTTATTGATGTAACTTTTAAAATCTACAGAAAGTATTCTTAAAATCTCTTAGTCAAACAATGTGCATACGAATTTTGTTCTTAGTGCTTTTGTGAAGAACTTCATAATGGTACCATATTTATTCTTGAACAATAAATATTGTTAGTCTATTCCAATATATAAATAACTTTCTATCAGCTCAGTTTGTTTACTGTGGGAATAAATAGCACAGTTACTGATAACTATGAAATACTAGTTTTGTTTTAATAAATATTTATTTATCTTCTAGCCGTCCTTTGTCTGCCAAAAGAAGTCCTACTGGAAGTACTACATCTAGAGGTGAGAACGGGAGCTGAAAACTGTGTTCTTGTGTTGCTGAGGAAATGTGATGAATTAGAATGAGAATTTCAGACACTATGATGTGCAAAGAACGACTTTGATCACAGTTTACTGCTCCTTAAAATGGCAACTAAGAATGTGAAATTTTTAATTAATTTTGTATTGTACACCATATACTGTGCATCAACTGCTGATATAATGATGCTTTTTAAAGTTAGTAAAGCACCTGTCGCTTGCACCTGAACGGAAGGCTAAAAAGCCTTGAAAACTGTAGCCAAGGTATGTTTAGCTGTGCAATAAACTACTGCTGATGCTAAAACATACATAGTCTAATGATGCATTCTGCTTCACAATGTACTATCATTTATTATCTGTGGTTTCAGCATTTTCTGGAGGCACCGTCTGCACATGAGTCCTACAGTGTTAAATTCCATTTTGTCGCTAATCTGTTTTTACTGTTGGATGGAATATTTATGTGCAGCTTTCCTGTCCTAAGTAAATGCATACAATAAATAATAAATTTTAATACAAAATATAGTAGACAAAACTTTGTTGGTAAAAGATAACCTGCCTTCTACACCAGAACAAGATTGGGTTCTGGCTGGCTTGTGTATGCAATACGCTCTGAGACCTTTCATTCAAGGAGTTATTGTTGTGTTGCCTACTTGATTGTGCATATAAATGCACGTTTGCTTGCAGCTGAGTAATCAAGCTTCATGCTTAAGAAGGTAAGCATCCACAAAGGATGGGAAAAGCAGTCCTCATGAGAAGATGAGGTGTTGGAAAGGAAATTAGTAGAACCTGGACTGAAGGACTTGCAGGTCTGTTTTGGCCAGCAACTCACAAGCTGGTGATGGGTACTGTCATTGAACTTTCGCATCTAAGTTCTGTTAGAAATTTCTTTATTACTGGCCTAGCAGCCTTTTTGATCTCAGTATTTAGGTTAGTGACTGATAAAGTTCTTAGAGGTAGCATCAGGTTAGCTTTGAAATATCTTTGCAGGCAGTGTGGGGAAGCCTACATTGCCCTGATAAAGCATTCTTAGTTAGGTATTTCGGTGCCAGCAAGGAGTGTTAAAAATAGTACGTTAAACTGCTTGTCAGGCTCTTTGAAGCACACAGATAAAAAAATTAATCTTCTTTATTCTGGATCTCCCAATCCCATCTGCAGCATCTACAGTAAGTACAAAATCTGTGTCAACACCAGGATCTCTGCAGCGATCCCGCAGTGACGTCGATGTGAATGCAGCAGCTAGTGCCAAGTCAAAAGTGACGTCTTCTGGAGCTTCCACCCCCTTCAGTTCTGCTGCAGCCTTGCCCCCAGGCTCATACGCATCACTAGGTAAATCTACGTGTTCTACTCTTGCAGTTAGCTTTCTTTACTAGTGGAAAGTGCCTCGTAGTTTTATTTGAATATCGAACTCTAACTAGAAGAATGTATCTCTGAGATAGTTACCAGCTCTCTAGGATCAGTGTGTGATCTCTTGCCCTTTGGGATTAAGGAAAAAATTTGCAACAGAACTGACTTGAAGCAACTTCTTAGGTTTTGAATTGCATAATAGTCTGTGTCTTACTCTTCTTTCTGGGAAAAGCAGATCTTAGTACGACTCTGGGGCGTTGTTGAGGAAATACTGCTCAATTCCTTTGTTCCTCAGTCTCTTTTCCTTATCTTCCTTCCCTCCTTTCCTGAAACTGGCTTTTTATTAACTGTTTTATCTTTTGAAGGGACGATGTTGAGGAAATACTGCTCAATTCCTTTGTTCCTCAGTCTCTTTTCCTTATCTTCCTTCCCTCCTTTCCTGAAACTGGCTTTTTATTAACTGTTTTATCTTTTGAATAGTACATCTGAGTTGAGTTTGATTGCTTTCTGTTTTACAAAAGAGAGAGATGTAAAAGCAAAGAGAAGTCATCTGCCTTCTAATTTCATCATACAGGATATAAGTATCTGTTCCTTATGCTGACTCTTTCTGGACTATAGCCACATGTCACATTATTCTCTTAGAGCATCGCATATCACTTTCAGGTGCCTCAGGGTTTCTTACAACAAAGTTTGCATTTGATCTTTCTCTCTTGGAGATGCCATTGAAGGAGGCATGGAGGAGGAAATGCAAGGCGGTGATTGACACCGTATTTGCAGAGCTCAACTTGGTTATGATCAGCTCAACAGAGCTGATCATCTGAGCTAGTTTCTCTTTCTGCTGTTTTCATACTAATCTAATTCCAGACTTTTCATTGATTTACTTTTACAAGAGGGAGAAAAATAAGAAATTGGTGATCTTGATTTAAGCTATGTAGATTGTCTTCACTGAGTTAAGAAGTTTCTTCTCCTTACTGTAGGGCATTTGATCTTTAGTCTGATGTTTGGTGAATTACAAAGGGATGGTTTCTGTAGATTCCTTTTGTGGACACATTTCTTTCATATCTGAAATGTTTTACCTTGTCTTAAATGTGTTGGATGCATTTGGTTCA